CCCCCCTAAAAAAAAAAAAAAAAAAAAAAAAAAAAAAAAAAAAAACCTGATTGGCGAATCCAATTCCGAAGCCGAGCAAGATCCGACCGACAATGAGCATCCAAACGTGTTGAGCGAAGCCGTTGATGAGAGCACCGACGAGGAAAAGCAGGCCTCCGAAAAGCATGGAGAGCTTTCTACCGAACCTACGCGTGATGGTGGATGCAACCAACGACGAGAGCAACGCGGCCAGGTACAGCGAGGAGGTAAACATCGTCAGTGTCTGGCTGTCGTATTGACAGTACTGGTTCGCCGTTTTGTCCAGGTTCTTCTTCCGGTACACCGCCGGGAAAAACTTCTCCAGAAACGGATCCATGGACGTCACCCCACCTGATCACGCCCCACATTAAAACGCAAAACGTCACACACTCCCCCAGAACAAAAGCCAAATCGAAACAGACAAAAAACAAAACAGCCTAACATAAGTGCGTGCAGGCATATGCGGTTTATTAATTAAGTACCAGAAATTCCGATGTCGTAACCGAAGATCAAGCCACCCATGGCTGCCACTATACATGTTACCGTCACGAAGGGAGTGAGGTTCCCCGGGTACTCTTTGCCCCCTCCGCTGCTAATCACAACCGCAGGCATTTCTTCTGTCCTCAATGGGAGAGAAACAAGGAAAAGGAGATAAGAGAAGAAGAAAAGTGAAGAGCAATGAAAACAAGAAGGAGTGGCGAGTCTTTATATAGAGAGATTCTCCTTCACTTGCTGACTTTCATCACCGGTTGAGCTGTCAATGATCATATAATTATCCTATGTCTCTGTCTCTATCCATAAAATTAGTCTTTTTTGTTAAATGATAATATGCTTTCAACAATTCTTTTAAAACAATTTACTGTTTAAGGATTTTTTTAAAACCGTAATTTTTATGCATCCATATTTTATTTAATCTCTAGTTTTCTCTAATTTATCTTTTTTGCTAATTCTTTTATTTCTTTTAATTTCATTTTTCATTTTTGTTCATGAATTGAATTTTAAACTATTATGCTATGATATAATAGGCGAATACCTTTGCTATTTAAAAATGTTATTATAGGAAGTTAGTATATCTAAAGATTAACTATCCACTTGTGGTCGAGGAATAACTTAATTTGTGGAAAAGTAAATTAAATTGTTTTTTTTAAATAAATTATTAATAATTAAAAATATTATATATAACAATAAAATTAATTATAATATCTAAAATATAATTTATATATTTAAAATTGTTAGATATAAATTTTAATTATATAAAATAAATATTATCTTCTTGATGCCATATAATAAAATCATAATTTAAGTTTTAGGTTAAATTTAAATTTGTAAATTTAAAGGAACTAAGTTTTTAAGCTTAGAGCGGGTATAGGGCGATTATTAAATACTTTTATTTCACTTGCCTGAACTGTACAAGCATCTCTATCTCCTGAAAAATGTTACGTTTTACAATTTTTTTTAAAGAGAATTGAATGCAAAAGTAAAAGCATTTGATGCTTGATTTGCAATCAATTTACTTAAAAAGCAATTCATTAATGTATACATATATTTTTCCTAGCTAACTATTTAATAACCAATATTTTAAGAATAATATACAGGTGTAAAAAAAAAAATACATTGTATTCATACATAGATATAAAAAAAATTATTCAAATATTTAACACAATCGTATATTAGATATTCAAATTTGAGATAACTAATTTAGTTGAAGCATTCTTGTAGTAATTGATTCACATATTTTATTTTTATCTCTGTTTACTAATAAAAAAAAATTGCAATCTCTTTTCAATAGATAATAAATAAATCCTAATATAATTTTAGTCTATATCACATATATCTGAAATTAATTTTGTTTGAGACAGTTACAGTTTTTTTTTTGTTTGAGTCAGTTACGGTCATTATAAGTGGTAAAAAGATTTCTTCAATTATTTAACTTGTTGAGTTTTATAAATGAATTCAATCCAAATATTAATAGTGCAAACAACTTTTTATAATGCATTTTAATTTGTGAATCATATAAGTTAAATATTTATTATATGTAAGTAAGATTTATAATAAATTATATATAAAAATAAATATTATATTTAAATATATAAGTTATATTTAAAATTAGTATAAATAGATATTTTTAAGTATATGAATTATATTTTAAATTTTTTATAAATAATTTATATTGTAATATATTATTATTTTTATTTATTTATAATTTATTTAAAAAATTAAAATATAACTCATAAATAATTATGATAAACAAAAATTTAATTAGACAATAAGTTGAAAAAATCTTTAAAAATTCTCTCATCAAAGAAAAATCTTTAAAAACTCTCTTGTTGAGTAATTATTTAGAAGGCATGACAAGTTTGAAAAAATAAATTTATAAAAAAGCAAAATGAGAGAATAAAAATGAAATGAAAAAATTATGGGAGAGAAATAATATTTTGAAACCAATAGACAAAACAATCAATAAAATGTGTACATTAAAAAGAGGTATCACTTTTATTAATAGTAAAAATTATTTAATAATTACACAAAAAATATTTTTAATGAGTTAATAACAATAATTACCACTTTTAAAACAAACTTTAATTAGTCAACATATTTTGGAAGTTTTAATTATTTTAGGTTAAATTATACTTTTGGTCTCTCTATTTTTTGTAAATTTGTAGTTTTTGTTTCTCTATTTAAAATAATGACATTTAGTTCTTCTAATTTTAAAAATACGAAATTTTAATTCTCTTGTCAAATTAACACTTATTAAATTTTAAGTTTTAACATTTATTTATAAATAAGTGATGTGACATTTAATAATACGATATTTAAAAAAAATATAAATAGATTTATTATTAAAATTATAAGAATCGAGACACTCTGTGTCTTTAATAATTATACAAAACAAATATTAGATAGTCGTGGATGATTATTGAAAGAAAATATGAGAAGTTATTTTTATTTAACATTTGAGGGATATAATAATCAAATAAAAAAAATTATAAACAAACAAAAAAAAATTTAATATTAATTTTCATTTTTCATTTTTATATATCATATTACTAAATATCATATCATTTTAAACAGTAATAAATCACCGTCAAAATTTAATAATTAATAAATATCAAATTGACGATTTGATCAAAATTTTAAATTTTTAAAAATAAAAAAAATTAAATACCTTTATTTTAGAATAGAAAATCAAAATTACCAATTAACAAAAATAAAAAATTAAAAGTATAATTTAATCATTATTTTATGATATTAATAAATAAAAAGTATTTGATGGTTGAATTTTAAAACTACGTTTATGGAGAAAAAGAGCATGATTAAATAGTTGGATTGAGTAGAAACGAAGCATAGAAAAGATGGGCAACGTTAGATGAGCCGACAAAATTTGAAATTCAGCGGGAAAGGGATGAAGATGAATAAAAGGTTTAGAAACCCATTTTGTTATTGCCAAAACTAGGATTCCTTTTTGAAGAATTTCTCTTTACACAGTTGGTGGATTTCACACGTCAGATTATACTCGGATTTCGTAGGGATGTATTAAATGGTTCCTTTCAATTTTCATGGGATCCTATTTATTATAGGGATGTGGCTGCCATGTCAGCAGTTACATTGGGAACAAAAAGTGGCAATTAGATAATCGATTCTATCCGTTGTGGAAGAGTTGGGGGATTAATGGAAGGGTAGTTGGTATTGGTGGCTAAAGTCGGTGTTCAATGTTCATTGCAAAAAGTGTTTGTTCAAAGGATTAGATTAAGGATCCATGCGTGACTATGATTGCCTTTACAACAATGTTCGATACTTGGATCAATGAATCCCCTTCCCCCACTGTGGGAACAACGTGGGAGTGTTCATATTTAGAAAATTCATTCATTAAAGCATTATTTTGATTATTTAGATATTGTGACCTTAATCTTTAGAAGGAAAACATTATGATTTTTTTAATTGTATTCTCGTATTCTGAGGGTCGAACGAGAGCTCCGATCGAATATTCCGGTGAGGGGAAGGTGCCTGCAAAAGGTACTCCGACGCTCAAGTTAGGACAAAGCACAAATATCGATAATAATTAATGAACACTGACGTTACCTTGTGACCTGTGCTATTTATACTGACATTTATGGGCCCAGATTCCCATGGGCCCTGCAACAGGATTACCAGATTAGGTAATACGTTTCTAATCGGCTTGCTAGTGTGATTAGCTCTTAATCCTTGATTATGGGCTAATCAACAGGTGGTCGAACGGCCGAACCAGGTGGCCGAATGGGCTTACTAGTACATTAATGAATAAAAATTTGACCAATTTAGTATTTTTTTTTTCTTTTTAGATCGATTTCCAGAACAATTTAGTTAACTTAATTATTAAATTAATCTATACTTTTTTTTTACGGACGAAAACAATGGTTTTCATCTTTAAAAATAAAATAATTAATTGTAAACTTTCCAAATTACAAAATGATGATTCACTTAAAAAAAAAAGAGTTAAATCCAATTTTCTTTCCAGAATGAATGCTGCTGGCAACGCGTCATAAGCCAGAATTTATTTAAAACAGTAAAGTAGTTAATGAGTTGCATTTATGTTTATACGGGTTAAATGCATTTCTGATTTCATAAGTACCATGGTAGTGCAATATTGATTCATCAAATTTCAATAGAATGAATTGTTGTAATTGTGAAATTTTAGTTTTTATATTAATTTTTTATTATAAATTTAACAAATTTATTAATGAGTATGTGATTCAATTAGTAAAAGATTATTTTAATTTAAATTTTAGATATGTAATTATATTAAATATTTTAAGAAACTTTATTATTTATAATAATTTTATCTAATTTAAATAAAATTATCTTTAATGAAACATAATATTTATTTTTATTGTAACGGATGGATGTACTTATATCAAATGGATGATGAATAAATAGATTCATTTATCACTCATAGTTTAGATAAAAAAAATTTAACAACTTTTGGTAAATATTATTTTTGGTGAATATTATTACTATTATTTTTTTGGTAAATATTAATTTTTGGGTTCATTATTAGTATTAATTTATTAATAGTTTTATTAATACTAATATTATATATATATATTGATTATTTAGAAATACTAAATATAGGTTTTCTGATATATGAATAAATTTATAATTTATATAACTTAAATATCTCAATGATTATAAAATCTTAAAATATTATAATAATATTAATATACTAATAATATTATTAGTATTAATTTATCAATAAAATTATTAATTAATAATAAATATAATATATCATATATATACATTTTTATTTATTAGTAATAAATTCGTGTGTAATTTTAATTTATATTGAAATTATATTTATAATAACTTTTATTTATACATTTAAAAAAAATTATCAATTTAGTAGTTAAGTTTTGTTATTAGAAATAAAGGTGAAGGACTTAGTTTTCATCTTTCACATTCTGATAATTTTTTTATTTTATTTTTATTTTCATATAACACTTTTGTGTTATATTAGCTATATGTCATTCACTTTATCAAATTATGTTATTGTGTTGATGTCAGTAATTAATGTCATATCATTTAAGTTGTTAATTTAAATTCAATCAAGTGGTTATATCAACTCATAAATAAGGTCATGATGAGCTTAAAAAGATGACTTAAGTAGAAAAGGTTAATTAGATCTAATTTGTTTAATTCGACTAACCAAA